GACCCCGCGGCCGCCTGTTGCCCGCAGAGTCCTGCTCCAGCGTGGTGTGTCCCGGCACCCACACGTGCGTGGTGGACCAGACGGGCAGCGCGCACTGCGTCGTGTGCCGCACGGCGCCCTGCCCCGAGCCCACCAGCCTGGACCGCGCGCTCTGCGGCAACAACACCTTCCCCTCCCCCTCCGCCTGCCACCTGCGCCGCGCCACCTGCCACCTGGGCCGCTCCATCGGCGTGCGGCACTACGGGAGCTGCTCCGGTGAGCGCCGCGGGCGGGCAGGGTGCCCCGGGATGGGATGGGATGCGCTGGGATGGGATGGACCAGGATGGGATGCTCTCGGACAGGATGCATCGGGATGGGGATAGGATGGGATGGGATGCTCCAATGGAGGTCCCGGAGCATCGCCCTCTTGCTCAGCCTTTCTCCTCTTTTCCCAATTCTATTTCTCCATTCCAGCCACAGCCAAGTTCTCCCTGGAGACGGACAATGCTGAGGAAAATTACGTGTGAATCCCTGCTTTGCCACCAGGCTGGACCCAGGAGACGAGGGCATTATGTGTATACTGTACAAACCATATACCTGATATTTATTAAGATAAAGAGATCCCTATTTATAGCTGTCTATGTTATGCAGTTGCAGGGGGCCCAACGCCCAGCTTGGCCGGCTGGGATCGAAGCTGGACGCTGCCGCACGCGCCGGGGTGTCCGCGGCCCCTCGCACGGCCCCGCTGCGCCCCGTGTCCTTGGCCGGCAGCCCCGGCCCTCTGCGTTTTGGCCGGAATCCTCCGTGCGCTGCTGACGTTCCTGGCCGGGACCGCGGTGTCTGGGGGGAATCGGAGCTTTATCTTTCACTGGAGAGATTCAGCCTTGGCTGCCAGCAGCAGGGACGCAGCCCAGGCTACACCGGATTGCAGAGAGAGAGATATATTTTTATATATATACATATGTTACTCTGCGTTTTGGCCGTTGAACGTATATATGTTGAAACTGGTTTAGTGTAGGTTTTCCCAGGCACATCCAAAATCGGCTCACGGGAGTCGCTGCTGCGGGGAGAGAGCGGGACCCTGCGGGGCCTCGTGAGCCTCCAGCTCGGGACCTGCCCGGGGATTCGGGACCTGCCTGGGGATTCGGGACCTGCCCCAGGATTTGGGATCTGCTCTGGCACTCAAGACCTGCCCCCAGCATCCGTCGCTCCTGTGACCTCGGGGGTCCCCACACTCCTGCTCCATCTGCACTGTCTGTATTTATTTTTACTCCTCTCTTTCAGTGTGTGCTTCGCAACCTGTGTAAATACCATCTTATCTCTGACACCAAAAACACCCTGTTGCCTTTATATAAATACCATATATATTATATATAATATATATAAAAATACCCTATTTTCTATTTTTGTATGCGTGTGTTCTGATTCCCGGGGCAGGTGCGTGTCCTGGTCTTTGGGGCTATGTCACCAACACGGTGCCCATTACAGCCCAGCATGAGTGGTGGTGGCTCCTGAGGAACTCCTGTGGTTAACAGGGTCCTGGTGTGTGACACACAAGGAGAGGGACCGTCAGGGACCCGGCATGGCCACAGGTGGCACCTTCCCCTCATCCCAGCCTCTGTTCCTGCCCCTGGTGCCCCAGCTCTGTGCTGTGTCCCCAGGGAAGGGGCTGCATCCCAGTCTGCTCCTGCCGGCAGCCGCCTCCAAACCGCTGCCGTGAGTCAGGTGCCTCCTTCCCGACAGAGCCTGGGTGGTCTGGGACAAGCCGGGACGCGCCAGCTCCCCGGGCTGCGGCTCTGCCCCACCGTGGGGCCCGGCCGCACGGGACGTCCCAGGGTGACGCGGCTGCTCCTGCCGGGCTGCTCCTCACCAATGGAACGAGCGCAGGGAGGTGGGAGAGATGCTGGGAGCCCCATGGTCTGGCTGAGCCTCCAATAGTGTGTGCCAGGATTCCCCTTCTCCACCAGCACGGGATGGGACGGGATCAGACTGGATAGGATGGTTTGGGATGGGACAAATGGGATGGGATGGGGTGGACAGGATGGGATGGGACAGGAGATGAGTGGAGCAGGTATAAGGGCTCACAGACGAGGTTTTATTGAGGCCACAGCGGTGCTGTCAGAGGGAGATGGGGCCCCTCGGTGCAGCTCCTGGGCAGCGATCGGCCCCTGAACCCACTGCTCCTCCGGGGACATCGAGGCCGGAGGGCAGCGCTGAGGTGCAGACACAGCAGAGGGGGCCCAGGCGTCCTGGTCCCACTGTGTCCCCGGGCCCTGCTAGTGCTGGTGCCGCCCTGCCTGCCGCGGGGGCCCTCGCACCGTGCGCAGCGCCCAGCCCACGTAGTTGGAGACCTTGGTGTAGATGTCGGGGGGCCGCCGGGCGCCGCACCTCTCCCCC